CGTCCTCTTCCTCCCTCCTCCTCCTCCTCCTCCTCCTCCTCCCTCCTCTTCCTCCTCCTCATCCTCCTCCTCCTCCTCCTCCTCCGCCTCCTCCTCCTCCTCTCCTCTTCCTCCTCCTCCTCCTCCTCCTCCTCCTCCTCCTCCTCCTCCTCCTCCTCCTCCTCCTCTGGCCTTCAAAGAAGCAATCCGTGGCTTCGGAGGCCTGGAGAGCTTTGCGGAAGGCTGGAGTTCTTCTGAGCCTTCCGAGAAGGCCCGCCCCCTCTGCCTTAGCCCTCTGGGGGCCCCGCCGACTCGCCCCTCTCTGTAGGCTGGGGGGGTGCTGCTCCTCACGCCACACGAGGGCCCCAGCAGGCAGCGAGCTCACACGACGGGATGTTGCTGGTTGCGAGGAAGTTCCTCAGTTCGCCTTGCATCTGCACCGCCAACACCATTGACACTTTCGCGGTTCACTCTGTCACAATATCATGTCGTCGAGCCCTTGTTGGCATGGTGCCTGCTGAAGCCAGCATGGCGGCTTCTGCTGACCTTAGGAAAGCACCATCCCGAAGAACCAGGGCAGACACAATAACAAGAAACATAAACATTACATGTTGGAGACGGCGTGCGGATTTCTTTGGTCGGCGCCCGACACCCCCTGCATGCGCCTCTGGCGCCGCCCCTGGCGCGCAAGAAATGAGCGCGGAGCTTCGAGGGTCTACGCTTATATTGTGCAGTCCTGTTGGTCGTATGCTCGCTCAGCCTCGCCTCGCGGAGCCTGACTCGCCCTCGGCGCGAGGAGCGCGCGGGCAGAACACACGCCTGCGTGCTGGCAGAAGGGGCGATTCATTGACTGCGACAGCAGCAACGGCGGCGACGGCGGCGCCGACGCCGTCGTCATTCGCCGTCGTCGTGGTCGTCGTCGTCGCCGTCGTCGTCATCGTCGTCACCGTCGTCACCGTCGTCGTCGTCGTCGTCGTCGTCGTCGTCGTCGTCGTCGTCGTCGTGCTGCTGCGTGCGACTCCGAATCGAACTGCGCAGGCGTCTCCGAATCAGGACGGCTTCCCTCCTAGCTTGGGGGCGGCGAGCCGCGCGCTCGAATCGCGGCTCGCCTCGCCGTGCCCTGCCTCCGCCCCCCGCTCCGTTGGCTCCCTGCCCGGATCCCTTCTTCGGGACACCTCGCAGCCGTCTGGTGTCGCTGTGATGCCACGGACTCCGCCTGGAAGAGCCGTCTCGGGCCCCTCTTGGGGCCGTCGTGGGTCCCTCTTGGGCCCGTCTTGGGGCGGCCTTGGGGGCCCCTTGGGCCGTCGTGGGGCGGTCTTGGAGGTCTCTTGGGCCGTCGGGGAGCGTCGGAAGCTCGAGAGTTGAGACTGCCAGGGGGGCAGGCGGAGGGGGGAGGGCTTCTTAGAAGGGGCCTGCTTCTTGGAAGGCGACGGCCCTGCGTCTACACATCGGGCCCGCGCCTCCCAAGAAGCAGCGGGGGCTTCTAAGAAGCCGGCCCCCTCCACCCCCTGCCACCCTCTGCGCGTGGCCGACCTTCGCCGCTGCACCGCCAGCGGGGCGAAGTCGTTCGAAGGCCAGGCAGCGGCGCATGACGATCGACGATGTTGGAAAATCGAGCGGCCCTCGCAGAATCACACCAACCGGTATCCTCTGCCACTCCCTGATCGCAAGCAAGAGCGTGCCCTCAAGACCTGGAGAAAATGCCTGTAGTCAGATGCCAGACCACTGACGTCCGCTTGGATAGCCTTCCTTCGTTACTTCAATCAAACTCAGAATTTCCCTGGGCCTCTAGATCTCACCCAGAAAGGAGGAGACATCAACCCGCCGTGTTGTCCCCAGGCCTCACCCAATGTCCTGCGCGTGCTAATCATGGGTCGAGATAGACGGCACTGATGAAACATAATCAGTCGCACTGCAGGGCAATAATCTCGCCTCTGGCCCACAAGAGATCATGCCCAATAACATGCACCGCTGATAATGCAATACCGAAAGCCGTACACTCTTCATAACTACATCCTGCTCTCCATCCCAGTCGCTTTGTGGATCCGCTCAGGGAGCCCACCGACAGTGAGCTAGACAAGCGCTACTCCCGCTAGCCTCTTGGGCAACATCGAGCTTTCATGTAGAGTTTGTGACTCGTCCGTGGGCTAAGATTACGATCGCCGAAGCAAAACCATACTGCGTCCCAGACAAAACCGCAATACTAGAACTATGGGCCTGTCTGGAATCTTCGCCACACTTGTCCGGGCGCCGGGGAGGACAAAGACCACGATGCGGCGAGGAGACCGAAATTGATGCTCTGCAGAGGCTTGCTGCAATGACGCCTTCATGCCGGGCTCACGAGCAGGAACCCCATGGCTCCCGTGGTCTAGCACGTCGCTGATCACACAGGACAGCTCCGTGGATCCGAAAACTGTGACGAGAGTGCGAACGACCAGGAGCCGCTCCAGCTTATGACGGACCAGCACGATGAGGCGATGGAGCAGAGAGTGCACATGTGTGGAAGGCTCGGGTGCATATTTTGGCCTTCGCTCCCAGACCGTAGCGTCATGGCCACAAATGTACGCTGCACGTGTCTGTGTGCAGAAAATGTGGCCGCTAAATGTCGCCGCAACAACTATATGGCTGGCATAAGCAGCTGCAAAATGTTGAAGCGACCGTAAACGCTGGATTCAATTGGTCTCTTCAAGAGAACATACTAAAACTTGAAGCGCTGAAAACAGCAAACACCACCGTCATCCCGCTCCTCATTCCAGCCCCCAACGCCCTATCTAGAGTTGCATCTAGCCAGGACCAAGGACCGAAGGTGACTGGGACCCCAGGGCGGACGGTACGAATATGGCAGCACTGAAATTGTGTCCTGGAGTTGACCCAAGCTACTCTCTGGATGCCTTCCACGCGCAAGGCTGTCAGGGAGGGAAGCAAGATCCTTCTCGACTGCTGCATGTTGTGCAGCCGCGAGACCTAGTCTTCGACCCATGGGAGCATTACGCCAACTGAATTCTGACGTGTAGTCTTCCTCTGCCTGGATGTGCGAAATACTGAAGCTCCCGACGGCCTCAGAGTACTGGAAGCAAAAATCAGCAAGACCGAATTTTAGACTGCGGGGTTGTGAAAGCCTCCGTGAAGCCAGCCACACTGGGATGTCGGTGCTGCGTGCTTTGTGCCGTGCGCGACACGCGAAACGCCCTCTACGCACCCGACCTTTGGGGGGTGAGATTGGCACCCAGAACTCTGCATGTCTGGGTTTCATGCCTTGGGTTCCAAACCTGCCGGGGGAAAAAGGGGGAGTGGACGGGACTGACGGCCAGAGGACGCGAGAGACGAAGGAAGAAGCAAAGAGGGTTCGGAGACAGAGGAAGCAGGAAGCGGGCCATGAAGTAGGGGGGAGAGGGGTACCGCCATCACCATGCCTGGCCAGAGCCGTCCTTGGCCATGGCATGGTACGCACGCCCTCCTAACCCAGGCCAGGCCAGGAGGTCGACCGACACATCATCCTGGGGCTCAGGATAGCCCTGGCCAGGCACGGCGTGCGGTGTACGGGTGCCTCCTGCGCATCTGCCAGACGCAACCCCTTGGAGGTTGGCCGGCCCACGGCCCGCGCAGCCTGGAAGCAGACGCAACGGGACCGGCGGCGGCCGGAAAGTCAAGCACCTATGAGCGCGGCGCCCATGCAGGGGTGCCTGTCTAGCGCGCGTCTCCACACGCAAGTGATGGGCCAGTCTGGTGCACGCCTCGTGCAAACAGGCCTCCTCTAGCCAGCAATGCGGGGACTGATGCCTAGCATGCAATTCGCGCCTTTCGCTAAAAAATGTATCGCCACTACGTTCTAGCCCGTTCGTCTACACGCAACAACTGCTTAATGCGCGATACCCGTTTACATGGTCAACATGAAGGCGTCCGCCTGCTCTCTACGAACACCGCACAACAATACCAACTCCCAACGGAAGGCAACAATGCTGCTGCGCACAGGCACCAACCCGAGACGAACCAACGCACTTCTGGATCTTTTTCCAAGGCGCCTTGCCTGGTACAAAACCATGTCCAGGAACCAACAGAACTGGTCTTGCACATCAGGTTCTGATCCGCCTCCGTGCATCTGGGCACGAAGTGGGGTGTCCTCAGGTCCCGTAGAAGTCCTCTGTACTGATGATGGGCATGTTTTCCACCTCCACCACCATAAGTTGGAGGGGGGAGGGGAGGATGAGGAGGATGAGGAGGAGGAGGAGGAGGAGGAGGAGGAGGAGGAGGAGGGGGAGGAGGAGGAGGAGGAGGAGGAGGAGAAGGACGAGGAGGAGAGAGAGGAGGACGAGGAGGAGGAGGAGGAGGAGGAGGAGGAGGAGGAGGAGATGGAAGAGGAGCAGGACCCCCTCCCACTCCAACTTATGGTGGTGGTGGTGGAAAACAGGCCCATCGACTGAGCACTGCAGTGCTACTCACCGAGGGGCCCACAGCCCAGAGCCCCAGGGCTTCTCGCCTGTTCCCCCGTGCTCCCGCTGGACTCCTCCCGGAGGCACTAGGGCCCCCAAACGGGCCAAGAGAGCCCAAGAGGCTCCCGAGGAGGTTCCAGCGGGCCCGAGTTGCCCGAGTTGCCTCCCCAAGACGCCCAGGGTGGCGCCCAGACGGCCCAAGGGGCCCCAAACGTGCCCCGAGAGGGCAACATTACTGATTTCCCTCAGCGCTTTCGCTGTTTCGGGCGTCCGACGATCCAGACGGCCCAAGAGGCCCTCCCACGAGGGCCCACAGACGGCCCAGGAAGGCCAGAGGCACCCTGCCAACGTTGCGCGTTCGATCGTGGACCCCTCGCCACGCATCTCGGCCCCTGCAGACCGCCGAAGGCCCGCCGGAGACCGCCAGCGAGCGCGCGCCCCGCCGTGGGCGCTGGGGCCCGACGCGATCTTCGGCGGCCTTTCGGCGGCCTTTCGGCGGTCTTCGGCGGCCTTTCGGCGGTCTTCGGCGGTCTTCGGCGGTCTTTCGGCGGTCTTCGGCGGCCTTCGGCGGTCCTTGGGCGATCTTTCGGCGGTTTTCGGCAGTCTTCGGCGGTCTGGACGGCGGCCCGACGCGGTCTTCGGCGGTCTGGGCGGCGGTCATCGGTGCGAAAGCCCGATAGTTCGCGTAGCAGGGGGGATAACGTAACCAACGTCATTCGCGTGACGGGGGGGGAGGCTTGGGTGGGGGGTCACAGGCTGCACGACTCTCACTGCTTGCATCCGTGGCCACGCCAACATTCTTGTTTCGCTCCCTTGCGGCTGGGCTTCCACCGTCGATCTGGGCAACCTCTTATAGGGGCTCCTCCCGGGGAGACCCGCAAGAAACGCGAAAACCTGGCCTGGACCCATAGGGAACTCCACCCAGGTCGGCGGACCCCGTCGGCGGACCCCGTCGGCGGCATCGGCTTGCGACGAGAGCAGGGTGAAGCGTGAGGAGGCCCTCCGTCGGTTCCCAGGCCTGCCTTGGGGATCCCTTGGCCGCGTCATAGGTAGACTCCCACCGAACTTGCTGGCGCCAGGAAACTTCAAGGAAACGCCTCCGCTCCTTCCCGCCTGACTCCTCGGCGCCCCCGCCCACCACTCCTCTCGTCCAGTCCCCCGCACTCTACCACCTCCACACCCCGCGCGTCCACGCTCATCCCCTCCCCCTCCTGTCCTGCTCCCCCTCCCTCTCGCCTCTTCCGCCCTCAGTCCCATATCCACCGCCATTCCCCCCTCCCTCCTTCCCCCTCTCCTCCTCAGTTTTTCACGCTTTATTGGAAAATCCATGGGCTGATATGTGTATGTGTGCATATTGCTGCGCAGTCTCTATCCAGGTGACGGATGCCTGAGCTGAAAACCACAAGGTCTTGTTGAAGAAAGCAGCGTCGGAGGCGTCCAAACGGGCACTCCGTCTTCCGATGGCCGGCCGCGTGCATCACGCTGCGGGGGCCGCCCCCCCGCCACAAAACTGCAAGTCCGTGGCCCCGAATGATGGGCTTGTTTTCCACCACCACCATAAGTTGGAGGGGGGAAGGAGGTGGAGGACGAGGAGGATGAGGAGGACGAGGAGGAGGAGGAGGAGGAGGAGGAGGAGAAGGAATGGAATGGAATGGACCTATCGCGAAGCGGTGAAAACGTCACCCAATCCGCCGCCGAGATCTACTCAGCATTGATGGGGCAAACTACTTCGGCATCTTGCCGTCATATATTCTTGAGATATTCGATTCGCTTGGGTGTGGGGGAGGCCAAACAAACATTGCCCAGACCTCTGAGCTGGGCACTCCCATAGTATCCACACTCCTTGCAGAACCACAATTTGAGGCTCTTGTGAAAGAGGAGGCTGTGACTGACATGTGTGAGACCACCCCCTATATGAATAGACTGACCCCTCGGCAACCGAAGCAAATCACCACAGTGCTGCGGAATCAAATCGAAACACGGAGTGGTCCGCCAATTAGTGAGGGCATATTTTGCAGCGCTCCCACGACACCTAAGACAACTTCTCCCGTCATCTGAGAGCTGATGCTGGGATGCAAAAATTGACAGGGCCGCAGGAGAGGGGGGGGGGGGGGGCAGGCGCGCTTTTTTGACCACTGGGGACCGTTTTTCAGCAACCATGGCGTCTAGTGTAGACCTGAGGAGCCGCTTTCTGACAAGGATCGCTTTGTGTTCAACCTGGGCGATGCGAGACCTGACAGAAGCGGGGACGCGGTTCTCCTTGGCGGCTGTACCCGCCAGCTCGTCCGCAGCTGTGTTCCCGAGAACCAGCCAAAGAGGATGGGGACCCGAGACAGCCTGGGCAGCGGGGATGTGCGACGGCACTTGAAGAACAACAACCTCAGAAAAGTCACGACGCTCGGCAAGCTGGCCGAGCTCATGCCACAAGTCCTGATTCTCCCCCTTACTATCAAGGAAGCGTTTACTGTAGCACCCTGCACTCACCGACTCGTTGTCGGTCACAAAAATTGTAAAGCCTCTACTGAAACGAATCGCTAGAATTAATGCCATTAATTCACCCCTGGGCACCGTCTGTTTGGGGCCGTGGAGGGGGCCTCGGATCGAAACATCGACCTGGAAAGGTTCAAAGCATGAAACCGAAACGATACCTACACCTACCCTGCGCAAACGGGGACCCCTGGAGTCCTCACCCCCGCTGGCGTCCCCAAAAAGGAAGTTGGGGCTCTCTTGGGATCCAAGGCCAAGGGTGTGAGGGCCTAACTCATTAGAACCACTGAAAACCCAAGACGGCTCCGAGGGAGGTGGGGGCACTTTGGTCCAACTCCCAGGGATAATCCCCCTGAGCCAAAAGCAGGCGTGGGACTCGTGTTGAGCCACCGCCTCAACAGTCAGGTTGTCTGACTGGTCGCATGCACGGGAGCCGACGTTGCAACTGCAAAGCCACGACCTGTGCAGGGGTGTCTCAGCCACCTCCCCACATCTCGGGCAGGTCGCTGAGTCGATGCCCCCCGCTTCGTCCATGATGCGCTGCCGTGGCCACGTGCCGCCAGCAGCCACGCACGCCATTGTCTCTGCAAGCTGGTTACCTTTCCTGGCCCCCTCGAGCACGCGCAAGAAGTGGCGGCATGACATATTATCAGCTCCCTCTTGGAGGCCCTCCACAGAAATGGCGAGCCGGACTAGCCCACTGATGCGCACGAATAGTCTTCTCAAATTCATCAACTAAGGGTGAGATGTCGTCCGACGGGCCGAGCTGATTGAAAATAAAAGCTTCGCGATCGAGCTCCCCAGCCGGCCTGGTGCCCCACTCCGATGGTGAAACTGGGCCCCACCGGTACTGCAGCAGGTAGGTCACCAGCGCCGATAGAGGCCCCCTGACGTGACGGGAGCGCATCTGCGCTGGCATCGCTGTGAGCTTGGCGACAACAGTTGGCCATGCTCGAGCGATCCCTGCATGCAGCCGAAGCTCCGACTGCCAAGCCGTCAGCCACAGCCGAACCGTGTTGACTGGGAGCCTGTACCCTGGGTCCATGTCGGGGCACCTCAAGTCGAGCGCAGTCGTGAGGCAACGGCCACGACGAGACGAACTTGCAACCTGCCCCAGCTTCCTCCTCATACTCATCATACTCGAACCAAAGACACCAAGCACCTCGTGACCATAATGTCCAGCTGGCTGTGCTCCACATTGCTCAAGCCGAACTGCTGGACGGTACCTCCTGGATGCTCGCGCGAAGCGAACGATCTTGGAGGACATGGTGCCTGCCTTGGCCACTCGCTTGCGGGCTGTGGCTCGGGCTTGGCGGCCCGCGCCCATGTCGAGGCCTAAATAGGCCGTCTGCAGGACAGGGATCACCTCAATGCCCTTCACCTTTAGCCTAGAAGAAATATACTTGGCGTCCTGGAGTTTGGAACAAAACACGACGCTCTTCGCAGCAACCTTCAGGCCGTCCTTGTCAAGCAGCTGGGCTGTCTGGTGCAGCACCTGAACCATGACCTTCCGAATGGTCCGCCTTGGACTGGCCAGTGACTGCGACAGGTCGTCGATCCACAGCCCCACGTCGACCAGGGGGTGCCTCTGAGACATCTGGTCGAGCACGAAGTACGTCATGCAGCGGGCGAATCGAGTCCCGCTGCGCAATCCTTGGATAACGCTCCTCGTGGGCTGGAACGCTTCCGAAAACAATCACGCGCTGCCAAAGTGCGTGCTGCAAGGCATACTTGGAGCTCAAGATACAGTACACTGGAGGAAACCCTAACTCTAGGGCCTTGGATGCCAATCGGATCCAACATATACTGTCATAAAAGCTTTGTATATCAAGCAGACCATTAGCAAAGTCGAGGCCGAGCAGGCTGTGCACCTCGTCGCTCAAGGCTCTAGCAAACCCCTCGCGAAGTGCAGCATTGCCTGCCACCGCGGCATCCCAAAAAGGTTGTGAGTCGGTCGACCAGGTACGAATCCATGGTTCTCTCGACTTCGACCATATCCGTGGGATCATGCCCACAAGTCCGATGATGCGATCTCCTCCAGATTTTTCTCAAGCATCCTGCCGATGGTAAGTAGCAATTGCCACGGCCAAGTCAGACAAGCCCCGGCGTCGTTGAGGAGCTGGGCTAGCTCATCCAACCCTTCGGCAGGTAGACGTTCGACGT